CACATGATTATCACACCTAGTATAATTCTAACCTATTTCGTAACCGTTTTACTAGATAATGATAATAATGAGTGTTTAAAAGATAATGATCGTGTTTAAAAGATTTGATGATATCATTTCCATTATTACCCTTTTAATTTTAAATTTTTTTGAATTTTTTTAAATTTAAATTTAAATTTTAAAAATCTTTAAATTTTATTTTTTATCACAATATGAGGTTATTGGGTTGTTCTTGCGTTCTCGTAAATCACAGGGGTTCTCGTTTGAACCCTTCCCTATATATATATATATATATATATATGTGTGTGTGTTTCTGTTTTTTATATTTTTAGAGATATATTAATATATACAATTAACGAAACATATTATGGGTTTTTAATGTAATTAATGATTGAAAAATCATTATTTGGAAAAAGATTATTAGACTTTTTTATTTAAGATGTTTTAGACACTGTGATGAAGATTTTGAAAGTAAAAAAATAAGAACATGGACTTAAAGTTTTTATTTGGGTAAAGATGCATTTAAACGTACTGAAGTCTTGATTTAGTTTCTATTTAATGTAACGAAATTTATTTTTTCTTAATTAATATAAGAAACTTCCCCCTTCCCCTTTCCCTATTTTCTACATATCTTACCTACTAAACAAGTTATTAACTTATATATCATAAAATTTGACATTTTTCTTTTTTAATTTCAAAATCAACCTTAATTTGGAATCATTTTAGTATTTTATCCTCTTTTATAGGTTTTTTAAATTACCATTTTTTTGATGCACTATGTAAAACAATTTGATGCATGCTTTCTATAATAATAATAATAATAATAATAATAATAATAATAATAATAATAATAATAGTATTATTATTATTATTATATGATCATATAGAAGTATGTTATATACTAAAAGCTAAAAAAACAAGATGATAATAATGAAAAGAAAAAATGACATGTCAATAAACATTTTAGTAACTTGTTTAGTAGGTAAAATATGTATAAAGTAGGAAAAAAAATAGAAGTTTCTTATATTAATTGAGAAAATATAAACATCCTTACATTAAATAGGAACTAAACCAAATTTTATTACATTTTAACGCATTTTGCCCTTTTTATTTTGATGCATAGAAAAGATATGAGGAGAACTCTAAAAGAGAGAGGTGAATAACTTATCATAACCGTTGAATTAATTGATGAAATAGTATCTTAAATCACAACGTTGGATGAAAAGTAATGTAGTAGACTATTTTATTTTGTGGTTTTCATTTTATTATCATATATGAATGAGTAAACTATGACTTTCGTCCCTGTGGTTTAGGAAAGATTGCCATTTTCATCCTCTTGGATTCGGAATTTATTGTTGTTTTTGTTCATATTGTTGGTAATTTATTGTTGTTTTCGTCCCTGAGACTAAATTACAAACCAAACAGACGGAAATTGCATTCTCAAATCAAATACAATTAATCCAAATGTTACACATCATACAAACCAATCTCGACACTTGATTTTATGTATTTTGAAATTTTTAAGTGGTTACCAAATCAATTACAAATAAGGTTGAGAGTAAATTTTGGAACTGATTTAATCTAGATTGTTGAGATTGGTTTGATAATTTGCAGAGACACTTGAGATTGGTTGCTATGTTTTGATTTGACATCTCTCTTTCTCTCTCTCTCTCTCTCTTTCTCTATACATATGGTGGGGTTTATGTGAGACCAATAGTTTTTCGTGAGACCCGTAAGACTAATTTATGTTTATTAATCAACTTTATAAGCTAATGATCTAAAGTTGCATGATGACAATTTTGTGATTATTGAGAAATCTCGTGGCGTTTATGAATATTTAGATTGTCAGATTGTAGATATATAATCCAAGTGTTGAGAATTGGTCTTACGGGTCTCACAAAAAACCCGTGGTCTCACATGATCCTAAGTCTCTCTCTCTCTCTCTCTATATATATATATATATATATATATATATATATATCAGAATATTCAAATTATAAACTCGTGAGAATGAATCAAAAATATTACTTTAGGTGACTTTTTTCCATCTAAATCTAATATTTAAGATATTACTTCACATATGATTGTTTTATAATATATTATTTTAATGTGAATTTTTTGTATATTTTTCACATGCAAAGCAGGGGACCTACATGCCTGACCCAAGAAATTAAGTTCGTTGATCAAACTTGAATTACATGTGATTTTTTATTTAAAATCAAGTGTTATAAACATTCCCCAGTTCTTTTATTTTTATTTTATTATGGTTTTAGGTACCGATCAGTAGATATATAATTTTATATTTATCTTCTCGAAACTTTTTACAAATGCAAAGAAAATATGAAAAAACATCAAAAACATGTGTTTTTTGAACTTTCTAGGAAATAAGGGAAAAGATGTGGGAGAAAATAAATAAATAATATGTTTCCTTTTACAGCTTTTCCTTAAAATGCGGAGCAAAGAAAAAGGAAGAAATGACGATCTTTTAACCATTTTGTGAAACTACAAAACTACCTAACAATTTAACACCATTAAATATATAAAAATAATATATTTATAATAATAAAATATTTTCTTTCCATTTTCCATTTTCTCTGATTTAAGAAATATGAAAATTATTTATTTCTTATCCCTTCCATTTCATTTCCAGAACACAAATAAAAAGCATTCATTTCTTTATTTTCTACTACTTATTTTTCCAGATTCTAAAATATAATATTAAAGGTATCATGTAAAAATTAATCTTTTAAATGGTAAGGAACATGAAGTGACGATAAAGATAAATACTAAGTTTTATGAGTCACAATGTGACTTATATTTTTAATAGTACTCAATAAATTAATTATATTAAACAATTTAAATTAAATTATGTATTGAAATTAAGAAATAAGACATTAAAAATATAAGAAAAATTAAATACAATTATGGGCGGATCCAAAAAATTTTCAAAGTAGTTGCATCAACTAATTATCTTAATATAAAAAAAATCAATTAAAAAAATTCGGTTTTATCATACACACATACAATTAGGGTTATATATATATATATATATATATATATTTTATATTTTATGTTAACATTAAAAATATAGTTAATTTTAAAAATATTATATTAAGCTTGTTTTGAAGGTATCAATAGGTGACCATACCCCAAAGATAGGTCCGCCCCATAATACAATGTCACAAAAACTATGCATTTAAGCCATCACATGTTACATTCTAAACATGGTGTGAAACATAAGTGTTGAGCCACAAACATGATGTATTATGACAATTGTTACGACGAGTCTTTTTGGACACCAATAAAAACACGCTCTTATACCAAAGGGTCTTTGGCCTAGTGGTATCGTAGCCCTTGATCTTCTAAGAGATCAGGGGTTCAAACCTCACCATAAATGAGAAAGGTGTATGAGTTTATTTATTGCATTTGTCGTATATAAATATTAAATACTTAAAAAAAACACTTTTATTGTATTAATAAATAATATTAAAATAAACACTTTGTAAAAGTTGCTTCCGCGGCCAACACCTGTAGGTGTAGGTGTCTTCTTTAGATGCTATTTCGCGTTTCTGATTTTGAACTTTTCGGATATGTTTTTATTTGTTCAAAGAGATTTAGAGCTGAGCCCCTAATACATACATACATACATATATACATACATATATATATATATATATATATAATACACACACCAGTAGTTAAAGTATCTACTTGAGTATTGAAGAGATGATGTTTTTGATTGGCATGATACACATTAAGGGGAAAAAAACAAAGAAAAAAGCTGATCGATGAAGATTTTGCAATTATGGAGAAACTAATTAATAATGACAACTCCAAGATTCGAATTGATTTAAAGGTATAAATGGCGATTTAAATATCAACAATTGACATAAATATGCATTCATGATTGTGAGGAGGAGGCTATGAACCTGAATCAAGAGTTGTTGGAAATGGATTTCAAATGAACTAATTATATCTCACTGGAAAATGAAGCAGATTGTTTTCAAAAAGTTAAAAATTCTTGTGGTGTAGTAGGCACTAGGCAGGCAGTGATATGGATGAATATATTGATTCTCATGATATTTTAGAGAGAGAAAATTATCAATTCTAGAGAGAGAAAGAATAATATGAATCGGATGTGTGGGGGACTGCATCGAATCGAGAGAAACCAAAAGAAGATCACGAAATATCTGTGACTCTGCATCTGATTTCCTCTCTCTCTTCTTCAAATTTCACCTCTCTCTCTCTCTCTCTCTCTATATATATATATATAATATACGTATATATGCATCTATATATATAATCCATGGTGCTCATGTGACATCGCATCATTCTAATTCCAATCCGATCTTCTTAAAAAGCATTTTAACCGAGCACTAACGAAATTCATTTTCATCACCGTTCCTCAATGGAGTATTACGAAGAAGACGTACCTCATGTTCTAGCTGTTGATGATAATCTCATTGATCGAAAACTGGTTGAACAATTGCTCAAAAGTTCCTCCTGCAGAGGTAAAACACACACATTATTCTGAATTTCTCCTAATTTATTCATTGAATCACACGACTTACATAGATTTGATTGTTGAATCGTTAACAGTGACGACGGCAGAGAACGGGATGAGAGCATTGGAGTATTTGGGGTTAAGAGAAAATCATCAACAAAGTAATGCTAACAGCAATGTGAGTGCCAGACAATACATTATACATGCATTTCATCTTACAAATGGTTTTTTTTAATTAACCTGGATATCCAACCCGGTATGCAAGTCGACTAATCCTAGGATGGCCATCTGCAAAGTTCGGAGTTACCGCATTTGAACCTTCGTGGCCACAACGAGATTTTTTATAAGCTAACCATTTCTTCAACTTTTAGAGTTGCTTTACCAAAAATTAATCAAATTCGAATTTGATTTCAGTAATTTTTATCCATTTTTGTTGAGAAACTAACTTTTTTATAGGTAATTAAGTTTTCAGATTGTGTTCAGCTTTTCATTCGAACAAAGTATTGTTTCCTTTTTAGTTACAAAAAGAACTCTAAACTGTACAACGAACAAGTTAGAGGGTTCACAAATTTAAAGGCAAGTAGTCGATACCTTATGATATAATTATAAATATGACATCCTGTGAACTATAAAAGTGGTGTGTGATTGGTTTGAACTTGGCTTCAAAGGTCAAAAGTACCAGAAGGTCTCAGGTTCAGATCAAAGAAGAAATAAAAATCCCCTTGTGATCATGGAGGTTCAAATGCGGTGACTCCGGACTATCTGCAAAGCAGGTGGTTGTCTTGGGATTAGTCTGCTCGCATAGCGAGTTGAACATCCAGGTTAATAAAAAATATAACATCTTGTTAGTAATTATGATATATGACATCTTTAATTTAATTAGCTTAAAATGTTTGGATGTATACTTTATCCACATTTTCCTTGACAAATTTTAGGTTTTTTAGTTAGTGACTGTTAAAACAGGTTGATATTTTATTTGAGTAAAATACAAATTTGGTCCCTATGGTTTGTCAAAATAGCATGTTTTGTTCTTATGGTTTTAAAATTACAAGATAACCATTATAGTTTCTAAGAATGTTCAGATTTGGTTCCTTCATCTAACGGTTATAAAAATATTACGTTAAATGAAAGGGTATTTTCATCCTTTTATTGACTTGTTTTTGTCTTTTATGCGGCCAAAAAGCATAGAAACCAAATTATAAAATCGATTTTGATTGGGTAAAGACAAAAAAAATGATAAAAAAAAAATGTCCATTATTTAGCAGAATTTTTAACGATCGTTAGAATAAGGAAACAAATGAAAACATTTTCATAAATCAAGATAATTATCAAAATTGCAGGGACAAAAAGTGTTATTTTTGACAAATCATATTGACCAAATTTGTAAACTCTCTCTTTTTTTTTCTCTTTTTTGTTAAAAACCATAAAGGTTTAATCATCAGTTTTATCTGTTTGGTTTTTTTAATATGAAATGTTTTGTAACTGGTTTTTTTTAAAGAATTGTAAACTTGTGGACTAAATTTGGAATTGGTGAGTTCTTGCAGGGCTCAAAAGTAAATATGATAATCACCGATTATTGCATGCCAGGAATGACGGGGTACGAGCTGCTTCAAAAAATAAAGGTGAATCTTATTAATATTTAATATATTTTTTCTAGTAAATAATAAACTAATTTTTTATTATTATTATAAAATATTTAGGAATTTATTTAAAAATAAAATAAAGATACAACTTATAAAACATGAATAATAAGGAGGTGTTTGAGATTGTTTATTTAAACAAATTATGTTTTTCTACAAAAATGATTATTAATTTATTATAAGTTAGAATGTTTTTCACTTCTTCAAAAGCTCCTTATTACCGGTTTGGCACTGGTATAAGTTGTTTATCCAAACACTCAAAAATGCTTATCACCGGTGCTACACCGAAGTAAGTCAATAAGTTGTTTTTATAAGCAATTCCAAATATCCCCTAAAATGCTCTATCACATTGGTATCTTGGAGGTAGGTTCTATATGAACCGTTTAGAATTATCGGTAATCAACTTTTTGCCCAAATGTTAAATCATAATATTGTAAAAACATAAACGGATATTTTATGGATATGCAAACTTGTATTAATTTAAAAAGATCATGTTAATTTTCTATTGAAACTTTTATAGTAATTTTATGACATATAAACGGCCGATCCATTATCGAGAGTTTTATGGTAATTCTTATCGTCAAAAACAGAATTGTTTTATTTTTCAATGTTTTAACTAATTTATATTTTTGGTAATATTCATTTTGTTTATTTTCATATTTGATCTCGTTGACGGAATTATTTGACGATTGCAAACAGGAATCATCGATCTTGAAAGAAGTTCCTGTCATCATAATGTCATCGGAAAATATTCCAACACGAATTAACGAGTAAGTTTTTGTACTTCTTTTTCTTAACTATTTGGACAATAAAAATTCAATTACCAACAACTTCAACCGACTTTATATAGAACCTCCCTTTAAGGACATCAATGTAAGCAGGGACGGCCCCGTATGTAATGATACGTGCCACTGCTTCATGTTTCCATCGTAAAGGGGAAAAATTACGTTTCTAATTATTTTATTGGTGTCACCATATGGTTTTTGAAATTGAAATGTTCATACAAGACTTTAATGTCTGAAATGGTAAATGCCCTGCCCTCTTACAAAAGGCCTGGGTTAAAGTCCATAATTGTCAAATTTGTTGCTTTTAGCTTAAATTTTGGTGTTTTTATATACCTTTTGTGTTCTTTACTGGACTCGAACATGGATCTCTTATATGTAAGGACAGAGAACCAACCAACATATCTATACTGATTTTGTGAAAAAGAAAAAATATAGTCAAATCGTGCAACTTGAAAAAAATTCTAGGTCTGCCTTTAAATGAGGGAGGGTATTCTTCGGCTAACTCAGCGGCTGAGGCTAGCCACGAGGCTTTGAGACTTGTCTTGTATTTGAACAACATTATCTCATCCTTTTGCCAACTGAGCTATGCATTGAAGAGGCACAAACGTTCATGTTGAAGTTTTCCTTTTGAAATTAGGCTTATTATTGATGTATTTTGATTTTTGAATTTTGAATTTTGAATTATTTAGATGTTTAGAGAAAGGGGCGCAAACGTTCATGTTGAAGCCATTGAAGTTATCTGATGTGAAGAAGTTGAGACATCAATTAACAAAATCCGGAAGTTGATAAATGCTCACCGAGTCACACAAGTGAACTAGTGCTAGCAATTTCCTTTATGTTTACTAGTGTTCGGTCCGTGTGTTGCACGGATATTAAAAAAATGTATATTTTGTTTTAGTTGTTTATTTTCTAAAGTCTATTTTAAATGGACTATATTGCAAGTTTATATGTAATATTTATAGTGATGAAATTGTGAGTTCGAAATAATTACTATTGTCAAATTTGGTTTATAAATATTGGTTTCAAACTTATTTAATTAATATATATTGCTATGAAATATGTTGTATGATGAAAATTATTAGTAATAATCATAGTTCAATTATTTGCTACTTAGGTTACTGTTAAATGATATCTATACTATATTATAAAGAATTTGACAAAAACTCTTAAAAACCATTTTTTATGCATGAAATACTGTATATTGATGCATATTACTTAAAATTCAAGATTACAAGTAAATTATGCATAAGTACAACTTATTAAAGCTGAATGTTTGAATTCGTGTAACTAACTGTGGATAAACATAATCAAATAGAGGATAAACATTTCATTTTAAAATATAAAAGATCTAAAATATAATTAGGATAATTATCGAGTTATAACAAAATAATGAATTGTTATTTTTACAAGAAAATTATATTATTAAACCAAATATAAATTACTTCGTTATTGAACCTAAATTAAATTATAATAACAAAATTGAAGTAAAAAATTACATAAAAAATAAGAATTTTAAATAGTTAATTTGATATTAATATCGAAATATTTTTGTCAAATTTTTATGATATTTTCAAGTTTATCTTTTATCCAAAAATAAAAACATCGTCGCTTTTTCAAAATCACAAAAAATTATACTATAACATCGACTGAAATAAAGAATGAAAATGAAATATTAAAATCAAGATGTATTTCGATGCATTGCGCGAGTACCCTTCTAGTGTTTTAAAATAAATGGATACAAAAAATGACATAAAGTTGACAAATAAATCAAAACACATGCATGGTAATTAAAAGTTACAATTCCACAATACTATAATGTTACTTATTACGAATGTGCTGATTTTCGATTACAATAAACATATACATCTTATATTAACAGCTCCTCTTTTTGAATGCATGTATAACAACTATAAGCAAAACAACATTCTGGTTTGTGTTACACAAGATGACTATGTTATTTTTTTTATTTGTTTATTTCATACATAAAAATAAAAATAACAATTAGAATATATTATATGACATTTAAGTTATAAACTTACCAATAATAATATTCATAAAATAACAAATCCAATAATATTATAACCCGTGATTATGAAACAACCAGAAGTATAATGATATATTCGATTTAAATTTGATTAACATATACATAACTACTAAAACAAATAATAAAATTCAATAACCAAAGTAATAATAACATTGAGAGTGTGGACTAGTATTTTGAATGAGTTCAAATGATGGAAGAATCAAAAGGTAGCAAGTGTCATTTGCATAACCATATAAATTCGACACTTGAATTATGCAACTTGTATTATAATTTAATTTTAAGGTTCTCAAAACAAACACTATTAATTAATATTAATCATCAATGATATCATCTAAAGAACTCAACATTTTGTTTATATATATATATATATATACTCTCACACACACACACACATATATATATATATATAGAGAGAGAGAGAGAGAGAGAGATACATTGATGATGCTACATTTACTACTAAGTAACAAAAATAAAAATTTTAATCCTATAAACCTAGTTAAAAAAATGTTGGATCCATTGAATAATTTTTTTAATAAAATTAAAAAATATAAGACAAATAGAAATTTTATTTGTTGATGTATTTATGTTATGTAAATAGAAATAATGTAAAGTAATAAAAAATGAGAGATCAATGAAAAGTTAAACTGAAAAGTTTTTTTTTATTTAAAAACGATTTAAAATTATGAGCAAATAGAAAAGGTGAACGGAAGTTTCTCATTATGTTACCTAAGAAATTCCTATATATATATATATATATATATATATATATATATATATAATTACAAAATTAATAAACTATAAACACATAAAAGATAGAGAAGAGAATTTCAACAAAAATAACAAGTTAAAAATACAGATAACACACATATTAAAGTTTGATAGTTGTCATGAAAAAATATGAAAAAATAAAAAATAAATTTTAAGAAACTACAACAATATGATCAAAATAAAATCGAGTAAACAAACCTGATTTAATTGATACAGTTTAAGTATTTTTGGGCCGTTTAAAACTTATAACCCAAACCCAATTTAAATAATGCAAAAATACCGTCATTTATTCCAAACACATTTCAAAATACCGGTCATCTTTGACTATGATCGAGAAATCTAGCGAGTATACTTGGTTCAACTAATTCTTCAATTCTTCCTTACATGAGACACCTTTAAAGATAACATAATCTGACAAGACACATTTGTCTTAATCTTTACGGATAACTTAATCCGCTATATCTTGTTTTTACTACTCATATAGACTATTTGAGTTATCTTGTCACTTAAAAGCTTTTTACTAAAAAGCGATAAACGTTTACGGGTTCAATTACCTTACCGGATAAATATAACAAAAACAAAAAATCTTACCCGATAAGGCTTAAAAGGGAAGGCAATGATTGAGGATGATGACTCATTCAGATAATTGTTCACTAGGTTTAAAAGACTCACTAACAATCCATTTTGATTTTGATGACAAAAAATGTTAGGTTAGAAGTCTTTTTTCAAGACGACTAACTGGTGGACGTGAGCATATGCCCAATATAGGGCCGGTTCCAGCTTGATCGGTAACCGGTTGCATTCATTTCAGGTCCTACAAAGGCCTGGTTACTCTTGCCCATCCATCTCTTACCATTAAGGGTTCGTCAATATTATTCTCGTTGGTTGTCTGGACATCGAAACATCGGTTTATTTACACCAATTATATGATATATGAAGCATCTACTAGAAATCCACTAACATGTTAACATCAAGTCTCAATCCATAACCCCTACATACATTCAAATATTCGGTTACATAAAAATCGACCGATAAACCATCCACAAAACAAATGATACACAAAACAACATAAGGAACACTAAACAAAACAACATAAGAAACACTAAAACAAAGAAAACGGTGGGCTAACATAAACCATGAAGACGAAAGGAATCGTTTTTCTAGAATCGATGATGATGTGGTGGTGGAGGATGAGGATGATGTGGTGGAGGAGGAGGGGGACGATGATAATCACGACGATCTAACCCGAAACAGTGCAGGAGGGGAGAACAAAGAACCGAGATGCAGCCCTCGAAGGATCCACATATAGACGACAGCATAATGCAAGGGCAGCAGCAAATTGTTGTCAATAGGCTCCTATCATGATGATGATAAGGAGGAGGACCGGGTCTCATCTTCAAATCTTTATCTTAAAACCTTAATCCTTCAATAAGCCTGAATCTGAATTCAAAATTGAGCAAACCAAAATCATGAATACCCATTTGCATAAAGAGATTGAAATCCAATACCATATTATGTCTTTTTCGGCAAAAAGGATTGTTTAACCGGCAACACTAAGCCGGTCCCACTGACCGGCCAAAGGGGCAAATCAGGTACACAACGTTCTGTTAAGTGACTGTCCGGGCCTCTTTGTTAGCAGCTGCCAGCTTAACAAGCTTAATGGAGTTTGCAACTTTCTGTCAGCTACAAGTGACTTGCTTGGTAGTGGGTTAATGATATATAAAGTGATTTATTCATTAAGTTTCCGTAGAAAGTCAAGTAGACCGAGGGAGGGATGAATCTGAATCTGGGGTTTTCAAAGTAATTATTGCAATCAAGAATCTGAATCAGTTGATTAAACTGAGAGATGAATCAAATTTCTTACCATAATCGTACAACTCCTAAAATGTGTGTGTAAATCTGATTATTCTACCCTAAATAATGACAATATCACAATCAGAATCAAAAACCAAACGAAATTAATACATCTAGTAGGGTCAGGTGGGGTTATACGCTGACTTCGGTACAGCAATGAACATCCAAAATTCCTTGCAAATTCTCGAATACTTGTCAACTAAAATATTTGTTGTAAAAGCACTTCCTACAGGTGCTATGTAAAATTGTCAGTGGAAAAAGGAAACTCGATCCTCTTCTCTGACCTTCCATGGCAGAATAGAACTCAGATTACACCAAAAATGAAAGTAGTGACTAGATATCATGGACAATCGTTTACAACAAACGTAAAAAACGTCATTCGAAGTGGAAACTTGATCCTCTTCTTCAAATCAGAAACTCGAAATCAACAAAATCATGAATAAGCATTTGCATAAATCTAATGATGGTAAATTGCAGAAATAGATAAAACCTGTAATGAACTTACCGATTAACAATGGAACCGCTAGATCTGTGGTTTGCAGGAGTCGAGTGTGAGACTTAAAAGGGAAGCAAAACTTAAGAGGGAGGGTTGGATGATCATCACGACCGTCTGAACAGATATTAAATTCATACGTGGCACAATATTAGCCGTTGTCGTTCGCTCGCTATTCCACGTGTTCGTTATATAAAAGGTCGTGTTGAAAACAACTCTACCTAACACCTCCTCCTATAATATTTTGCTTTCGATCCCTTGGACTGTTCGAGAATTAAGATATCTTTTCTCATAAAATCTAATTAAATCTGTATATTCGTTTTAATAATTTAATATCTTAAATAAATATTGGTTTTTATGTATTAAATATTTAATATCTTATGAATCAAATAATATTTTGTAATGATTAAATAAATATATTCAAAAATAATATATTTGGAACAGATTTCGTTTTATTTAAACAACCAAAAAAAACTTTATACGCGTTGCATCTTTTAAAATGAATGAATTATTTGTTTTTGTTACCATCATTAATTGTAACGAGAGATATTATTTTTGACTTACTAAAAACATTATATCTAGTTTAGACCTATGTTTAATATATACATAATTATTATTTGTTGAATATGTTGAATGATAGTTTGAAGTGAAGTGAACAATATAATGACCATTTTTACATTTTTATCTAGATTAAATATTAAATAAAAATAATTATTCGGTAACTGCTTTTTTAATCTAAGGGACATTTGATTTAATGGAATAGTTGTAGGAATTTGGACTTAATTGAAGGATTTGGAATTGAAAGGATTTGAAATTTTTGATGTGTTTAGTATGTAGAATTTATAAATAATTTATAAAAACAAGTTATAAATAATTATAAAATAATGACATTACATTTTTATTGATTGATTATTACACAACAAATGTTTTTAACGTATTTTAAAACATTAATACATACAACAACCTCCTATGATATCAAAAATCTTATATTTATAGGATTTCAATTAAATTATGGAATTTCATATCTAGAAAATCCTTCAAACATGAAATTTAAATGAATTTTAAATTTCAAATACAATTCAATCCTCCAAATCAAAGGGTAGCCAAGTAGTTTACAGGCTTACATATCATTAAAAAGAAGAAATCTCGATGCTGCAAAACAATTAAACCTAAAGACCAAAGACATTGGTGTTACATTACAATTAGGACATTAGCAACGAGAAGAGAGAAATGACAAGAAGTAAGCAACGACGAGTTCGAGATCGAGTAGAGAGCAGCGTTTTTTTAGGGATTTTGAGAGAGCAACGAGTTGTGGAAGAAGAGAGAAAAACCTCTTTTTTTATTTATTGCCAAAGGTAGGTCTGGAAATAACACGACTGAATCCATAAATGCTCATTTTCTGGCATAAAAATTCACCGTCTGACTTAATTGGGGAAAAAACAAACACAACTTAATACATCTGAACGGATCAACTTTATTAAGCAATTAACAAACAACCTGTTTAGTTACTGAGGCAATAGTTACAAATCATAGTTCTTGATCACCTGGTTTATCATGGATTTGTTAAGCTGGTACCTGCAAGCAGTTGAGGTGACTTAGCGTTGTACATTATACAAGGGATAATTTGAAAAATAACATGATTCGCTACGAGCACACAATTTTCCATTACTGACATGAATACTTTCGGTTTTTAATTTGAAAGTTAGATGACAAAAAATGTGCAAAGATACAGATTATTTTCAACAAATATACAGCTATTCCACCTAAATGTCAAATAAATTTGAAGTATAAACAAACTAGATTAAAGTCTCTAGTTTCTTGTTTTCAAAACTTCTCACTCGAAGACGCCCGATTCATCCTCTGAGCGCCCAATTTTGGGACACCAGGTTTGGATCCTCGGCCTCTCCCAGCTGATAAAGGCTTGGCCCTGGTGGTTGGTGGAGGTGCTGCAATAGCGGCCCAGGGATCATCGTTATCAAGGGAAGCAGCACTCGATCGTGCACTCGAAGGCTTTGCAACCAGTTTTGGAGCAGGGGCTGCAATTGAACCCCACAACTCATCTGCATCTTTGCTCACGTGAGAGGTAGATTTTGGCCGCGGAATTGAAACTGTACCAAAAAGAAAATGGCACAATTCGCAATTTAAAATTTGAGCATAAATATATGCATCATAAATGATAGAAAATGCAATGTTTTCTTACCTTGTGGTTTGGTCTGCATGACAGGCCGCTTTTGAGCTGCTTGAATGTTTGTAAGGGCAGGCGAAGGCTTTGGGTCATCCAGTGGCAACATATCATCCCACCCATCTTTCTCACTCTCGTGATCTTCATGAATACCATTCTCGAGTTCACCCCACCCATCAGTTGAGGTAGGTGACACAGGTGCAGGTTCATCAGCAATGTATTGATCAGCCATGTCAGCACCTGAACTTGCACTCCGGACTAGTGTTGTACTTGGGGTATTCGATACTATCATCATCATAACAAGAATCCAGTAATCAACTTAAGGAATATATATGGTATGATAACCATCCCAGGGAAATGTTAGAAGTACTGGAATCAATTGATGAGGGGTACAAGCACAAGCGACAAGACAAATACAGCAAGAGCTTGGATTGTTCATTTAGAAACTTAACATATTGTTTTCTCATAATGAGTCGTATTTGTAAATTAGCAATTAACACATTGAAAAAAGAATCAATTTCTTTATAGTTTTCTTTAGTACTTCTGTCAAGATCATAATAAATCCGGTTACATTACAAATTATTTATTTTTAAGGAATCAGTGAACAAACACACGACAAACTCCATTTGATCACAATATCCACATGCAGGAACAGGAAAATATCAATAACATTAGTAATGATGATGACTTGTTAAAAACTACATTGGTCCGATTACGTCCAACATACCTAGATGACCAAATCTTCAGGTTGTCTCATTGTGTGCAGATCATTCGACATAAGTAAATATCAAGTAGATGTTACCTGAGCTGGCATTGGAAGCAGCAGATACTAGAGGGGAGGTGGATTTTGGAGGTGCTTGGGAAGTTTGTTCAGAAGGTTTTCCTTTCGCTGTCAAAGAGCTCATGGCCCATCTGTATCATAGTCGAATGTTGGATTAGATCTATAGGATGGAAAATGAGCCAGCCAAAATGGTATTTATTTTTGTTTTTGTACAATTAAATATGGATCGAGTATAAATCACACGTCAATTTCAAATAATCTGGGATAGACGCATTGTCCAGCTACCTATTTATTATTATATTGAATATTGTTATTGTATCGAGTATTGAACTGAAGTAACAAATTGGAAACTCTCTTTTCTAACAGAGAGAGAAATTTCAATGGTAAAGGCTACCTTTTTTTCTCTTTCTAACTTCCAAAACGAGGGGAGAGGACCCAGCAAAATACAACTGTGTACACTAAGGTGATACTTAAAATCTAGAAACAGGTTATGGACCAACATTATCAAAACCATTCCTGAATTATGCCGAGGGTGAACTCAACGTCCAGAACTAAACAGCTTTTCCGTAACTTCTACTGCATGAAATGTTTCTTTCTATTTGCTGTGCATACAGACACAGGTATGCAGTTGTAAAAATGAATTGATTCAAGTTAAGTGACATCACAGTCATGATGATACAAAATATGCGTACCCAAGTATACTTGCGTTTCCTGGAAGTGATGAAATTCCGGATCCTGTCTCCTCAGTGCTATCCCCAACATATTTCTACAAAGAGATACCAAGCACATCCTTTATTAACAGATAAAAGCTAATTTTACCAATAATATATATGACCAACACTTTAGGCAAGTTGCCAATTATTTCAGTAACATATAAGGTCTGAAATCTACCTACTTCAACTTGCATGCAATGCAAAGCACACTACTCAAGCTTTCATAATAGACATGGTATGTCAATTACATAGAAATTCAACTTACCGTAACCCCTTACAGAAGGGAAGATCAATCTATGTTCCAAAGCAAAAGACGCAACAAAATAAAAAATAAGAACAATTTTGGAATGAACATTTCAATATTTCCAAGAATTTATAATGTTCAAGACAACAAATCAGAATAAATGATTTACATTTGAAATAGGCTCTAGTTAAGTATTAACTGCTTCAGAAGGAAGCCTTAAAGGTTGATGACTAACTAACAACACAAGAAATTCAGTCCAGAGTTGCATGGAAATTAAGGTGGATATAATGTTATGACTGATGAGGTCAAAGCATTGACTACAAAAACTAGGGCAGCTTTACATGATAAAGATGAATGATCCTTTTTCAGTGCAAACACAAATCTGGTAGAAGTATCGTAGTATTAAAGTGACGTGGTAGTGCATATCTTATGCACTACGCCATCATCCGCATTCTAGGAAAGGTGACCAAGTCATCTTTGATTCAATGGTGCCACTAAAACCCTAATTTCAAGGGCTCAAACCTCATAAGAAATGTAATTCACATGTTTCATTGATCGACACACACACACACAAAAACCTTTTCATGGTACTGCTTTACTATCTGCAAAAACTGTTCAACTGCTTGAAAGGCCTTTGATCGAACATCACTGCAGAACAAAGAAAAGTTAAATCTATTATTCCAGAACATATGCTTACATTACAATGAATGTTTCTGAAGATGCACAATGATAACCATAATGAGAACATAAAAGAACAAACCAAACCAAACAAACTCAGTAAATCCCATACGGAGTAGCGTACAAGAAGGGTAAATGTAAGTAAATATTCCTCTATCCCAGGGAGTTGAGAGGCTGTTTTCATGAAGACCCCCTGCTTGGGGTTTTAAAATAAAGTTTTGCAAATATTTGGGAATCTTAAGAGATTACGAATATATATAAGTTCATGTAAAGGAGCCCAAAATGCTAACCAACATAATGTGAGAAATGAGCATATATTTCTTTCATTCTAAATCCAACACTTTTCCAGCAGCAGAGGAATAACTAGCCCTGTTAATCACTCCCCCCCCCCTTCCCTCAAACCTTGTTTTTGTTGATTTGTGATAGTCTGACACCTGCTGGTCGAGAAATCAGAGGAAGTATAGATGTGGACGCTGTTCACTGTTTTTTCTGATACAGCATGTGCTCACTGGTTACTGCCAATTTGTTCTTTTATCTATGGATATGGAATTCAATACTCCCTCTTGTAGTTTTTCCATTTCTCTGCTTTTTTGCTTTAAATCTTAATGTGGTTTAAGTTGCTAAGTTAGATCATTCCTCAGTATCCACAAAAAACATCAATGAAATGGCATTCCCATACCCTTGTGTCAACCAAGCAGGCCCTAAAAGTTGCTGAAACAAGAAGCTTCCAACCAAAGGGCCTTCGGCCTAGCGGTATCGTAATCTTTGGCCTTCTAGGAGGTCAAGGGTTCAAACCTCACCAACGGTGAGGAGGGTGTGTGAGTTTATTTGTTGCATTTGCCGTATATAAATATTATATACTTCAAAAAAAAAAAAAAGCTTCCATAAGAATGAGTGCATATTACTATTCCTTAGTTCTCCCATTTCAGTTATTCTAATTACGGCAACAGAAGCATGTGAAGAACAAAAGGCAAGGAGTGGTCACATAAAAAAGATTCAGAATGCATATGAGGGGAACCACCAATCAAACATAAAAAAGGTCCAACAAAATTACCAAACATGCAAACAATAACAGGTTAATGGCAACTTTAGTAAGGACAATAACCTGTCAGGATCAATGGTAAGTACAACAACATTTGGCAGTATACGAGCTGCTATCTCTTGGGCATCATAATAAGAACTGGTTGCATTGAGAGCCATTATACCTGCCACGGTAGAACTTATGCTCATTATCAATATTAAGGGGGAGGGGTATAATAAACAATTTCTAGAAAACAGAAGGATGATTATCAAACATTTAATCAATAGAATATAGAAAATGGCAGTAGATAATTTCACCTGCTCCTCGGGCAGGAGGAAATGTATCACGCAAAGCACGAACAGTGAACGCATTAATCAGAACTCTTTTGCGTGTCTGCAATGAACCATAAAATCATTTTAGTTCTAATCAGAGCTCTCTTGAGTGTCTTTTGTAGTAAAGAGTTGCTATCTGTCTTAGATAAAACCACTCTGAAGTGTATTTATCAGAAGAGAATAGTTTAAATGGAAAAACTGAAAGGGGGATAGTGTTTCACTATTTTAACAGTACTATCAACAGTGTGTAAACAGGTTTACAAACCCCTTCATTAAGGTGGCTAGCAATATTTCCAAGTAGTATTGTGGTATTTGTTCTGATTGCTGGTTCCTCGTCCACCTGCATTAATATAAAGTAAGTGTTGAATCAAACAAGTATAAAGTACAGTTGTGACGGCATAATCAACAATAGAGGGAAATGTACATGTTCAATAGAAGAACATAATATCTAACAGGAATGCTCAAATTATCATGATGAAGACAATATCACCAAATGAAGAATATCTTACCTGGAGCTTTGAAAGATATTTCAAGAGTGACCCAGATAAAGTGCGTTGGGACAGCTGCAAGTTAACAGTAAACATATAGATAACACCATCAGAAAATAACATAATATAACGATAAACTAGATAACCGATTTAAGTTAAATTATTCAGATCAATCAACTAGCTAGGATGCATGAGTGGGTATAAGGAGAAACCTTAGATAGGAGTGCGTGGAAGGAAGCCATTCTGTCCTGAAACCCTAGGTAGTTCACCTCTTTATGTTTGCTTTTTAGGTTGCATCATTTAATTTCCTTTTGTTTCATTTCTAGTGTGCCCCAACTAATTTGAGATAGGCAGCTATATAAATAGTATACTTACTATATAGTGCTGAAATCATGGGTCAGTAGTTGCACAACCATGGTAATAAATACCAATATAGGTACAGATCATTAGCATAGTGAGACACATTAGATTATATTATTTAGAGCAGGATTCTGAATGAAATATAACCAAGGTCCAAGAACAGAAATGCACATCACTTCTAGTGCAAACAGAGAGATGAAGATACCTTTGGAGCAAGAACAAGCATGGATTTAAGAGTCAATTCTCGCAGAAAGGCAGAAGTGTCTGAAAAACCAGTAGCAACGTGTGGATAGACCTAATCACAAGCATTTGCAGACATTCTTAAAGAGGGAAAACAGGGTGAGACCAAAATCAGCTTGTTTGCCACTGAAAGTACAACTAGAATATTGTGATTCTTACTTGCTCGTCAACAATTTGGGCCGAAAATGATTCCCCATATTGGTCGACATGCTGAAGTAGACCAACTCGAATAGCCCGGTCATTGGAAGCAAAAAGTTTCACAATTGTTGGTAGGACCTACATGAATAACCGAAGTCCAAGGAAACCAGAGTAAGAAAACAAATTACAGAAATGACTCGCAATGTAAGCCACCTGGAACACCTCAAAGAACGAGAAGTGCGATAGAGCATAACCTTTTTGTTGAATTCCTCTGATGGAAGCCAAGCACCCATTTTCAAAAATGCAGTCAAAGCAGGTGCAGTAGCTGAACCAAATTCTAAGGCAGAAGCTAACAAAGGAAGAAACTGCAAATCCAGAAGAGAAACATCAAGTTACTACATCTAAATTTGATTTCAAAATTTTAGAAAAACCTTACATGAAAATAATAAAAATACCTTCTTCAGAACAATTTCACGAGGCAGCTGCTCTGCTAGAGTTGGTAGTTTACGGAAGAATGTATCCTTCTCAACACTGTCCTTCAAATTAAGTATCTCCATAAAATGAATGGTATCCACCAACTTGTTCTGAAAATACTCTGCCACAACAAGTTTGCCCTTTTAGTATTGAAAGCTTTATAGGCTTCATATAAAACAAACTAAAGTACAATAAACTTGGACATGAGAATTGAAATAATGATCTTCAGTCCAGATAATTAAATCCAGCCAGATAGGTACAAGCTGTACAAAAGTATTAAATTGACGTTCAAGATGAGTATTGGGACAAACCACAGTTCTCAACAAGCTTTGATGAATTCAACCTGCGAGAAGGCATAGAACTCAAGAGCCGCTGATAATCTGGAAGTAGAGACTGTGAGACAGGAAATAGAGAGACGCAGATGAAAATGAATACTCAAATGATCAAAATCTTAAAACTGCCAAGGCATCACGAGTGAGCAAACACACACACACTACGCATTCAATCAATATAATTAATTTAGAGAAGCAAACAACATTTTACAGAAAGAAGGAAAGTGCTGAGGGGGATCAAGAAGTTGTTCTCTCATCAACTAAAGTGGCATGCTGACCTTTGGTATTGAAGCTGTATTCCGCAGCTCCTCAGTCTTGCCCAGTTTCAAACCGGCAAAAATCTCATAGATGAGACAGCCTGGTAACAACGCCCCATATCAGAGTACTACTCAAAATAGTATATAAAGCATCTGTGCAAACATATCAGCCTCTAAAATTATCAAGCTTTCATAACTTCTTCAACTACAAACTTGGTTCTACCATATCACAACCCTTACAGTTAAAAGTCTGCAATTGTATCCAAACCCTATCTTACGAAAAATTCCATAAGATGGAGTGTACACAAAATGCTGGTTGTTGATAATCAATATTGATATAGGCGCCATAGGCCTATTTTATTTATGTCAAGCTAGTTCTCCTAACAGACTAACAAATACTGATCAAGACGGCTCTTTTGATTTCAACTGTAAAAGGTTCCTTCCTTCCTTCGTATAGACTATAGTGCAAGAGCTGAGATATTCTTTTTGCAAATCGAACAGAAACTACAAGATAGTTGTTTAGTGGATGCAGTCTCATGCATAAAGGCACATGAAATAGAGTATAGTACCAACTGTGAAGAGAACAGACAGGGTATCCTACCAACAGTTGCGACAGGTTTAAGTAGCAGAAACAGTCATTTTTCAAACAAATGAGCCAATAAAAGCTTACCTATACCCCAAGAATCAATTGCCCATGGTGGAGATTTCCTGATTGTTGCCCAATCTGATTTTGCCAACTCCATTGGTTTGTATTGTGAGCCAATAAGCCATTCATATTGCTGGATTAACAGATGAAATTAAGAATTCATAGCCATCTGACTAATTTTCTAAGGTTCTAATAAGCATTCACAATAAAGCTTGTAGAGTGATTAAACTTCTAAGAAGGTAATTGAATCATTTATAACGGACTAAGTTCAGATATAGTTCAAAACACATGTTAAATCACCAAAAAGCAAGTACTTAAAGTGTATCTAAATGAAAGAAAAGTACCCCCACTTCATATTCAACCTTCCCAAAAGGTATTTAGGCATTTGACATTGTTGCTATTTTCTACTTCAATGTTCCCGCAGATAAAACAATGCATATCAGACGTGGAAGATGAACTATTTGAGTCATAACATACCAGCATTGGTCCTGTAGAGGCTTCATTATTCCCATCAAACTCAGAAAGAGCATCAAATGCATGCAATTTCCAGTCCAAAGTTGGAGTAACCACTACACTTTCCAAACAAACGTTACCATGCACCTGTATGAAACACGAAAACATAAGAGAAACGTCAGTTCCTCATGCATAATGATCTGTTGGTGAGCATCTGCGCTAAAGCATACCCACATATGCAAATACTGTATATAATATGCAAATGTTAAATATCTGTTGATCAACAGCTTGGCATCATATGATAACTTTTAAGACACCCTATCACTGATAAACCAGATAAGCCTTGCAAGTTGCAATATTCTATTGGCTCAAATATCTTTCAGTAGTTGGTGACACCTAAATCCCCAGAGAGTGCAAAAGGAGACAACTTCGATGATGCCTAAAGTCGAGTATCACAAAAAAAATGTACTTAAAATTCTACTCGTGGTTTTATGTTTATATCTGTTTGGTGCTGCATTTTGTGAGGAACAGTACTAAAACAGCATTGACAACAATCACTTGGGGGGATTGAAGCGTTGCCAAATTACAGAAGCAAAAGAAAATCAGCTCTAGCAATCATAAACATAAATGTCAGAAATGTAAATTACCAGATATGAAAACATTATGAATGACATATCCTCTTATCATCTTTGAGATATGAATAATGCAGTTAGCTAACCAAAACAACTATATATTAGCGTGTTGCCTACAGTAGTATTACACAATGAGATAATGCATGATGCAGATGACTATACTTACAAGTTTACAATCGTTATTAAGGAAGCTCACAGCTTTGGCTATGCGAGACAGGCCCCAAGCATAATATTCGTTCCTGGTGTCAAAGAAAGGCATGGAGATAATTAGTAAAAGATGTAATAGATTCTTCCTTAAGATAGTAAAGTACCATGGATGGCACAATTGACTAGTTCAGTTTCATATATAAATTTCAGTAACTGGGACATGTTTAACTAGGAATTGACCAAGGTTGCAGACAAGGTAGTGAATCACAGTGACCACCTCAAACGAAGTCATTCACGGGTTAAGAGTATTTTGGAAAGTTGGAGCAGACAATACATGAGTAAGTGAGTAACCCATCCTCCGAAATTGCTCTTCATTCACAAAAATACTTTTTACATCCCCTCAGGCCTCAGAAATAGCTATGTGTTAGATTTCTCAATGAAAGTAGTGCATCCTTATAGTAAATGAATTACCATTAGTCCTTAAATATTTTACTATGGTGTCCAACTGTCCATGGGCTGGATTTTGCAAGTTCCTCTACTTCAAGCCTTTTGAGGCAAGGAGCATCAACATACAATCATACAAGAGCAATAAGAATAACATTCTATATCCCTGATCCACAATGCACTATGCGCCTTATAAAAATAGATTTAGAAAAAAGACAGTCTTCTATTCATCATATTCTGGGAAGGTTAAGGAGGAGACCCATCAGAAACTGATATGTAGTGAACGAATCATAGGATTCGAGAAGAAGCATAAAAAATATAGAATAATAAGTTAAGTTGAAATGAGTCCGTGTACCTTTGTATACCTTGTAATCCTAATTCCTTGATCTTTTCTGCCAGTGGCATAACAGGTTCGGTGACAATATAGATGATAACCTTTGTAGAAGAGCCATCAGATATCTCTGCCTCAGTACTGTGGAGAAATGACAATATATTTGGATGCCTGACCTGAAATAAAAAAATTATATGACGTTCAGATTATCATTTCCCCATAAGCTTATCTGAATAATGAGTGCACAAAACTCAGACATGATATTGATGATAAAAATTACACAAAATATGCATGCATAAGCAAGAAAAGTATCCACACCCCCCCCCCTCCTTGTTTCAACACAGTTTCCAATTGCTTTAATCAATAGATACTATGGAGATGTATTCACACAAATCACAGAAAATTTACTAATGCTGTTTCAGATGCTTGCCAAAAAAAAGGCATCGGGAAATTATAAAATAGATATATACCAAACAGAATATGAGTCAAGCTCTAAGAGAAACCTGACAAGGTGTTCCCATCGTCAGTCCCAGAATTTTCGACAAAATATTACAAACCTACATCAATTTCGTGTCTGGTTGCACCAGTACCTCAAGTCCAATATTATATGCTGGATCATCAAGGCTTGATATATGAGGAGGCGCAGATCTAGAAGTAAACACCACAACATAACTACCATGATATTCTTGAGAGCCTAAAGAGCATTAGTCAAAGCTATTAGGGTTTCTCACATACTAGTTGCTCCGTTATCCCCACACACAAACTGGCACCAAAAACAATAGGCTGAACTAGGTTTTCTCTATATGAAGAGCACAGCTCAACTATGAGTTGCAAATTTCTGATGATTTGACTCATATGCAAACCAAATGCTCCAGATTAGTAGCAAATATAAACAACGATTGTATAACAGTAGCATTAATGCAGTTGAAATGATTTGAAGATGCAATGAATTTGATATTGGACTTCAATGTTGGAACAACCCTTAAAATACCTCATAGAAAACTCAGTGAACCTCAAAGACAGATCTCAAGCTCAAAAAAGTATAAAACAAGTCTCATTGGTTGCGTCATGGTCGCCAGATTACCTAAAATATCAAACTTCCTCGGATAAAATGGTTGATTAAGTTTATCATCAAAAACTTCCCAAAATTATGATAGTACTACTGATATGATATAAATGACTGCACAAGTGCACATTAGTCGCTCCAAAAAAAGGTTCACACCTGACTAAGTCCCGTCACAAAAAAATCCTGCAGCATGGACCAAGACAAATTTCATAAATTCAACTTGTAATGAGTAACTTACTGTTCGAAGCCGTTTGACACCATTTCGACCAGCAGCTAAATGCCCATCATTGGCATTGCTTCCTGTAAGAGAAAATATTGATACCGGGGACCCATCGTCCTGGAGAAACAAGCCAAAGCCAATCCCTCTCAATCATAAAGAACAAGACAAAAAAAATAACTTATTTAAAAGCATCATGGGCAGCATGCCTGTATTCTAAGAATCATGTAATAGACAAAGAGAAACCATCCCACAGCTACAGGTTTTTGTAGAATTCCAGAATGGAAAGTATGATTTCAAGTTTAGCCAGAAGATTGGATGGTGCAGGGTGCCAAATGTTTATTAAGAAATGGTTACTAAGTTATTACTAAGAAAGGGTTACTTAACTTATTACTAAGAAACAGTTACTTAAGTTATTACTAAGAAATGGCTACCTGTGGGGCAGAATCATAATTGTAGTTAATGTGGAGGGGGTCGACCCTGACTTGACACCACTCACATATATCAAATATTAGAAGCCAGGCTTATGAACCACATATGTTCCTCTGTTGAGTTGCTTTCATTGCACTTATTTGACATACTCGATCATAGTTATCAAAATTGTATGATCATGATTGGAGACTTAAGATTCTCACAACTCAAAGCATGAAAAAACCTACATGAATCCTATTACTTAATCAGAATTGTTTCTACGAACCTCCCTCATGTTACCATGCTAATTGATAAATATGTCTGAAAAAAGTAATTTAGGATTTCTTGTTTTTGTGAAATTGCATGTAGTGTTTAATGATACAAAACTTATTAGAAGAATGACCAAATGAATAGAAATGCTCTTTTCTGTTACAGAGTAAAGTCACAGAACCACTGGAGGAATAAAACAACATTATCTGGAGTAATAAAAATATGCTTTGTCGCAAACAGCAATATAACGCTTACTTCCTGTATTTCATATTTACACATGTACTTTAATAATAAAACCTGTTCAAATCTGTGACTGATCAAGAAGGCAATTCATGATTGATAGTGGGGATCTATTTGATTTAAGAACAACAACTATGTGCTCAATTAATTAAAAAAAACTAACACAAACAGAATGCACATGCAGCACAAAATAACTAGCTCATAACTCTTGGTGATCGATGGCAAAGCAGATTTATAGTTACTTTGTTTTAATAAGAGTTACTTGCCTGTTGACACATCAACATTTTTCAAGGAAAAGAAAGGTTGAATTTGATAAGGGATCAGATTTGTCTACAAGCAAAAGCATGCACATCCAACTTAAGGCACGAAAGCCTGTAGAGATGAAGAAGGGATGAAGTAGAAAGAAGTTGATGAATGAAGTTACTTGCACAATTTGAAAGAACTTAGGTTGCCCATTTGGATGCTTCCTAAAAGGTGAAATATCACAGTAACTAATAATTTAATTTAATGACTGGACAGTGGAAGGATATAAAACAATCAAACATGACTAGCATCATGTTATTTCCTGACCACACAATGTAATAAACATGTGCAAGATAAGTATATCCTTATGCACCCTCAAAAATCAGGGCATTGCCATAAGGTAACAACAATCTTCCTCATGACCTTGCTTTTCTCATTGTCTGTTCTTATAGCAACTTCAGTCAGTTTATTAACATGCGATATACATCTGCAGTCAAATCTTCAAAACAGATAATAACCATTTCTCATTGTACTGAGTATGTTTAGCTATAGTTGTGAGTTTCTCATTCATAACTGCTTTATGGATAAAGGCACGAATGAAATTCCATGTGATTTCAATCAATCAGGAACTCAATTAGAGTCCTCAGTAGATTTTGATACCAAATTCCAAAGAAACCTTCAAATTCTCACATTCTATGTTCATCAATTTCTAATCCAATCCGGAATGTGCTAACCCTACAAAAACTTCTGCATTAACTCCATAATGAAAGAGATTCTATTTGCAAAAGTACTAAAACTTAGAAAAACATAATAATCTTATATGATTCATTGATCCTATTAGTTTAAGATCTTCGTTGAACTACTTGTAACTCCTTCCTCCAAAAATATCAAATCTGAATCTAATTGTATGCTATGTACAATACATGGCTCCCACACAACTGCACTTACTTCTATACTCGACAAATTCATACGAGGAATTACACTACTGTCGTCAAAATTCACAAACCCTAACAGATCACAGTCCCTTGATCTTACTATGCTAACATCTTACTCAAGAGACCTACAGGCTACACTAAGCAGAAACAGCGAACTCAATTCATGAATTTCAGCGACATGATTGAATCTGCTAACCAACGCAAAATACACATGAGTAAGGATTGCAAGAAATATAGGTATCTTTATATATACATCCACACATACAAGCAGGCACAAATATGCATATAAACCTATGTAGATAACAGAAAACATATGTTACTTTGGAGCTGCCGCGCGAGTGAGTCCAAGATCCCCAAGCGGAGGAATAAGGTTCGCCGATGTTGTAAGGCAAATCCTTGACGCCGGCACCAGATCCGGAAACGACATCTTTCAGGAATTTAAACATTCTTGCTCTCCAAAACAATGGCGATCGATCGATCTGAAGTTCTGGTGAGCAGATGAGAGTGTTGCGATTCTTACAGAGCAGACACGGGGTAGTGGAGACGAAATGGAATGGAAAATCGTAGAACTATAATAACCAAGGAGCGTTTGGTTCGCGGGGATTGCGCATTCGCGTTCCGACACGGAGGGTCTAACCCTTTTAACAAACCAAATCGCAACCGCGGCCTAACTCCTAAGATCTTCTTTCCCAATAGCGCGGTGTAGTCTGGTTCAGGTCAAGGGTGTGCAAAACCGATTCGGTTCAAAAATCCGATTCGAACCCGAATTGATAATGAGATGATTCTACAAATTATAAAAACATCGAACCTGAAATATACAACATATATAGGTAATTTTTAAGAAGGTGTTTGGGATTGCTTATAAAAGTTGTTTTTTAACTTATTTTAGTCTGACATTGGTGATAAATTGTTTTTTAGTGTTTGGATAAGGAAAAAAACTGCTTATATCGGTGTCAAACCAGTAATAAGTTGTTTTTGATAAGTTAAGCATTCCTGACTTATGAAAAACTGTTTATTACCAGTTTACAAGTTTAACAATGTTTTATTTAACTCCGGTTTAATATCACATAAGTTAATAAGCATTTTTACAAAAAAAAAAAAAAAAACGTAAGTTGTTTTTAAATAAGCAATCCCAAACACCCCCTAAATATTATATAAACATGATTTATTTATCTAGTTATTTTTGTAAATTCCTAATCAATCGTACTTTTTTCTAATTTATAAATCGACTACCGATTTCATCATTCATATCAATTTATTGAATTCATCCTCAAAATTGATTATTTTTTTTGCATATAACTATACCCGAAGCGATCGACCTCAACTCGAAACCCGGCCAACCTTAACCCGAAGTAATCCAAAATCCGAAACCAACAATTCGAGGCTTTTCATATCCGAAACTTGATCGGATCTATCACTTCACCGCCCTGATGCACACCCCTATCTAGTTCAAGCGGTTTGGGTTTATGATTGACTATTAAATATTTTTAACCTTTTATAATTTATGATATTTTATTTTATTTAATTAATAATATATTTATAATATATATATATATATATATATATATTAAAGGAGAAACCGACTTGACTTTTCTAAAGATTAGAAACATATTTATCTTTTTTTTTCATTCATCCTCCTTTAATCTTTTTTTTAATATTTATAAACATTGATTATTCATTTATGTTTGCATTTAATATAATTCTTTCATTTTTCTTAACTCTTCTTCATGAATTGTTCATCATTCAATCTATTTTTCTTCATCTCCATCACTTGATTTGTTTTTCATTTCATAAATTGTTAGTTTTCAACAAATATATTTTCAAGTTTATTTCGAAAAGACTAATTCAGGTATGCGTTTCTTTCTTTTTGGGATTTTAGAATTTTGTTTTTTTACTTTTCTCTTCTATAATTGTCCTAAGTTTTCTCAATGAAACAAAGTGTTTGTTCTTGACAATTCTTTTAGAGTTTTCATGGCAACAATTGTTCGATTAATGATCTGATGATGGAATCTTGAAAGTACTACCAACCATGATATAGCCTCAACAAACTTCAACATGTTTTTGTAATGATTATCTTTTTTCAATTGTACTTTGAGAAAACTAATGTGTGTATGCATTTCTTTTGACTTTTGTTAAGATTTTAAAGTTTTTTTTGTTATAATTTTTTATGTAGCATCACCAAACTTCAACATGTCCTTTTTTAATGGTTACATTTTTTTTTCAAGTTCATTTCGAGACGATTAATCCGAGTATGCAATTCTTTTTAATTTTGTTGGGATTTTAGAGGTTTTTTTAACTAATGTCTGAGATGGCCTCTTCTAAAGCCTCCTCATTTTTCTTTTTTCTCCTTCATTCTCTCAATATTCTCTACTATATATTTTTTCTTAAATGTTTGCATTCAACTCCAAACTATTCATCTACTTCTATATTAATTCTAATGACATAACTCCAAATCATTTATTTTTTCCAATCAATCATTTATTTTTATATATAAAAACAACAACTATTTATTCATCTTCATCTCTCACACCCTTTCAAATTCTATCTCAATCTTATACATCTTTAAATTTATTTTCTTTCTTTTTGGTTTTTCTTCTATTTTACTATTAATAATATTCATAGGTTTTTTTTATTTTTTCACTTCTCCCGTAATTTTATGTATGTTTGTATCGTTATTTAGATTGCATTATAGTTTTTATGCATTATGTCATGAAGATTTGAAGAAATCTTCAAGTTCATTATTTGATTTTTTGGTTGCAATATAAGGTAATAATTTTATATTGATTTGTTTCATGATTTTGATTGCATTATAATTTTATTTATGTTTGTATTGTGATTTTTGTTTGCAATATAACTCTTTTGTATTAGGTGAAAATTTAAAATATTCAAGTTCACTATGTAATTTTTACTTATGTTGAACGTTTTTTGCTTTGCAGGTTTTCGAGTTCTTTAACGTTTATATATCAAGTCTTCAAAATTTGAAGTTTTCAAGTTTGGGTTGTGAGAATTTATGATTATGATCTAAGGTAAGGATTTTATGCAAGTTTGTTTTGTAATTTAGAGTGTATTAGAATGTTATGTATGTTTGTATCAAGATTTTGATTGGATTATATTTTTAAATATGTTTTTATCGTAAATTTAGTCGTACTATAATTTTATGTATGTTCATGTTGTGATTTTGATTGCATTATAATTTTATCTATTGGGTTATAAAGATTTGAAGATTTTAAGTTTGGTGTTTAATTTTTTACATATCGTATGGTTGGTTCATTCACTATTATGTTTTTAAAGTCAAGGTGTGTGTTGAGGATGAAAAATGGTACATGTACATCATCATTTGAAGGAGACATATTTTTATATGGAGTATTTTCTATTCTTGAGTTTGTGTCAGATTTCTTAATATTCACATCGTTATTATTACTCAGTTAATTTAGTTTTACTAAACAAATCTTTCTCTCAATATATATGTGTGTGTATATATATTAAAAATTCACTAACTATATTTTATTTGATGATTTTATTAACAATTAATATATATTTATATAGAAAATCTCAGATTATCAATCAAAGTATTCATATTACCGCGCAACGCACGATTCCCATACTAGTGTACATTATAAAACAAACATATAATGTCCTGTTACAAATATTTTATAACGAGATATAATTTTTTATGTAAATGCTTCTTCATGTAACCGTTATGGTTTGAAATCGTGAAAAGCATGTTATAGGTTTTCCACCTTCACACACCACCAATATGAACTTCCATAATCCACTTGGTACATGTTTAAGGATTATGGTGTAAAGTATAGAGTACATGGCACCTTTTTGCATATTTTCATCAACTGCGATGACGCCTAAATATTAATATATAAAAGTATTATTTTATTTTTTTTAAGTATATAATATATGTATATAATAAATAAATTCATATACTCATCAATTTTTTATGAGGTTTGAACTCATTACCTCCTAAGAGGTCAAAGACTATCATACCGCTAGGACAAAAGCTCTTTATTATATTTTGTACAACTTACTATATTATTTGATACATCTTTATTTTATTTTTTAGACTAAAACTAAAATAGATACAAATCATATTTCTTGGACTTTGTATCTCTCTTTTTACAAAGTTGAACCGAATAACAAATTTTTTTTTTTGAAGTATATAATATTTATATACGGCAAATAGAACAAATAAACTCACACACCCTCCTCATCTTTGGTGAGGTTTGAACGTTTGACCTCCTAGAAGGCCAAAGACTCACATACCGCTAGGCCAAAGACCATTTGGTTACACTCTAACAATTGTGTGAAAGATAGAGTTGAGGTTATGTAATGGGTTCAAAGTAGGTAAGTATGGGTTTTCCATGTTTTGTTGGAAGAAAATGTGTGCTACTTGGAACTATCATATGTTCTAGAATGTTTGAAATTTTCGATGATATCGTTTTTCCTGATAACATGTTTATTCAAGACTTAAAAATGTCACGAGATCAAATGTTTGTTGTAAAAGTTGAGATTACAAACATCAATTGGCACGTTGAGTTTGTTCATCACGTTACTTCATTATTCTAGTAAATGTCGAGAATTTACCCGGTACAATTTAATACTAGCAGTTATGTACCGGGTAAGATTTTAGTCCACAAAAAAGGTATTGTATGCAACAATTTACCCTGTAAGCGCTAACCGTGGTAAAAGACAACGACCCTCACTTACCGGGTAAGACTCTCATCCTTGCTTTCGCTCTTACCTGGTAAGATTTTTGGTCCTTGTCATATGAATCCAGTAAGATAATGTGACTTAGAAATCGTTTAATCGAGTAAGTGTTTGAAAAACGGCCTCTTAAATTGAACAACCAACAATTACAATGGATCCTAAAATTACTACTTTAGCGTCATAATATGATCAGGGGACTATAATATAAGTTACATTTCTCTGACTCATTAATTTCATAGTAAACTTGTACGTTCTAATATATCAAGTCTTGAAAATTTAAAGTTTTCAAGTTTGGGTTGTGAGAATTTATGATTATGATCTAAGGTAAGGATTTTATGCAAGTTTGTTTTGTAATTTAGAGTGTATTAGAATGTTATGTATGTTTGTATCAAGATTTTGATTGGATTATATTTTTAAGTATGTTCTTATCGTAAATTTAGTTGTACTATAATTTTATGTATGTTCATGTTGTGATTTTGATTGCATTATAATTTTATCTATTGGGTTATAAAGATTTGAAGATTTTAAGTTTGGTATGTAATTTTTTACATATCGTATGGTTGGTTCATTCACTATTATGTTTTTAAAGTCAAAGTGTGTGTTGAGGATGAAAAATGGTACATGTACATCATCATTTGAAGGAGACATATCTTTATGTGGAGTATTTTCTATTCTTGAGTTTGTGTCAGATTTCTTAATATTCTCATCGTTATTATTACTCATTTAATTTAGTTTTACTAAACGAATCTTTCTCTCAATATATATGTGTGTGTATATATATATATTAAAATTTCACTAACTATATTTTATTCAATTTTTTTCGAATTATTTAAATATGATTTATTGATGATTCTATTAACAGTTAATATATATTTATATAGACAATCCTCAGATTATCAATCTAAGTAATCATACTA